AAACAAGAAGAAAACATAAAAGCAGGGGTCAGTACAAAACACGGGTACTGAGTAGATATCATCGGCCAACTCAAAATAGAAATCAATATATACCGAGTAATATCATAAAATCAACTATGATACTCAGCATGTAGCCACAACAAGCACTATATCATTAACAATTACCGTCAAGTTCACACATGAGGACCCAAGCCCCAATACCATACTCATTTGGGAATCATGTTCGTTCGATTGAGTATATTAACATCTTTCAAGATTCATTATCTTTAATTCTCTTGTGTCGGTACGTGACACTCCGATCCCTCATATTCATTATTCCTTTTGTGTCGGTATGTGACACTCCGATCCCTCATATTCATTATTCCTTTTGTGTCGGTATGTGACACTCCGATTCCCTATATCTATGTGTCGGTTCGTGACACCCGATCCCCTAATTCTACGTGTCGGTTCGTGACACCCGATCCCCTAATTCTACGTGTCGGTTCGTGACACCCGATCCCCTAATTCTACGTGTCGGTCCGTGACACCCGATCCCCTAATTCTACGTGTCGGTTCGTGACACCCGATCCCCTAATTCTACGTGTCGGTTCGTGACACCCGATCCCCTAATTCTACGTGTCAGTTCGTGACACCCGATCCCTTAATTCTACGTGCCGGTTCGTGACACCCGATCCACTAATATCATTCTGTAAACCATCAAGCCTTCTCTATACCAAGGCATCATCAATCCCATTACTTTAATTCATCAAGCCTTCTTCTATACCAAGGCATCATCAATCCCATTACTTTAATTCATCAAGCCTTCTTCTATACCAAGGCATCATCATTAATAATGTATATTAAAGTTTCTTTTCAAGATTTGGGATTCAATATTTTCATCATGCTTATTTTATCACAATAACATAATCATATTCATGCAACATACCATTAAGCATATAGTAGGGTTTACAATACTACCAATACATATCAATCACTATTAAGAGTTTACTTATGAAAGCATGAAAACCATAACCTACCTCCACCGAAGAGTTGAATTAAGCAAGAATTTTCCCAAAGCTTTGATATTCTTCTTCCTTGTTCGACTCTTTCTCTCTCAATCGATCAATCTATCTCTCGCTTTTCTTTTCTCTTTTCTTATTCAAAACCCTCTTTCTTTTACCCCAAATTAACATATAATTAAGAATAAAAGATGGCAATAATACCCCACTAATTAACTTAGGTTTACCTCTTTTAACCCCCAAGAATTTGAGTTATTAATATAAACCCACGAAATCTATAATTAAGGAAAGAATAGTCCCAAACGTCCCTTAAAACGTGTAAGGAAATCCGATTCTGCCTGGGATTTGCGCAACCTGTGACGGGCCGTCGTGCCTGCGACGGTCCTTCCTGCAGGTCGTCGCAGAGTTCAGAGACCCAAATTTCCACCAAGGGTCTGTGACGGTCCGTCACACCTGTGACGGTCCGTCACACCTGTGACGGTCCGTCCTGCCATTCCGTCACAAAGTTCAGAGAGTCGATTTTTAGTACCCAATTTCAGATTTTCTAAGTGTTTTGAAACGAGACCCTGCGACGGTCCGTCGTGCCCATGACGGATCGTCGTTTGGTCCGTCGCCTCAGCCTGTTTTTCCAGAATTGACGTTTGTTGCTCAAAACGACTAAACAGGTCGTTACAATAGAAGGGGTAAAATAGTAATTCAACTTTTAACTTTTTCTGGTTCATGCTTTTAGTAATACTAGTTTCTGAGGACGTGCTTCGCACGTGTGTTCCATGTGAATTTTTGTAGATATGTTTGAATGACTAAAGTTTAATGGAAATATATATGTAAATTTAATGAATAATAAAATGTAACAATTACAAAATAAGAATAAAAACTTACGCAATATAACATTCATAGAAAACTAAATAAAGAAGTATAAAGGAGAAAAAAAAAGATAAAAAGAAACAGATTTAAGAAAAAATATAATGTAGACATGAAAAAATCAGTACATAACTTTCTGAGTTCTTATCGACTCCTTCCATATCCTATCAAAATTCAAGAGGCTTCTTCATCTACTTTATATATAGAATAAAAATGACAGCCTAATAATCTTGGTAGGAGTTTCATGAGATAAAGATGTTGAATTTATATAGATAGAATAGAAGGAATATCAAAAGAAATCTTAAAGTTTTAGTTTAAATATTTGAAGGTTATGAATATGAAAAAATGATAGTTATGAATATTAAGAGTATAAAAGTGAATAAGTAATTAACAAATAATAATAAATAAATGAAGAATATGAAAAAGAAAATTAAAATTAGCAAACTATGTAGAAAGAACTACTAAAGTTCTTATCACGTAATAAGCGTTAATGAATTTAAATTTGTGAAGATAGAGTCATTCTTTAATAATAGTCAAGAGGACAGTATCAATGTGTGTCTCCATTTTGCAGATTTACAACCTTTAAATTATTGAATTTCGTTATTTATCATTAAGGATAATACTTTATCCACATGATTTATATTATTCATGAGAGGGGTTAAGGAAAAAATTATGAGAAGAGGAAAAATATAGCAATTTAGGTAGAAACCATTTTTAAAAAAAATTATAATTATTATATACATATAGATTATAAATGATAAATATTAATTAATTAGATATTTAATTGGAAATTAATCTTAAGAAATCTAAAAGTCATTAACATTTTAATTAAATTTATACAATCAAATATTTAAATATTTTATAACAATTTAATTTATAGAAGGGGTAAAATAGTAATTCAACTTTTAACTTTTTTTGGTTCATGCTTTTAGTAATATATGATATGATATGTTTAAAAATTATTCTAAAGGTACAATAAATCACAATAATTAGCAATTAAATTTTTTTTTACTATCTAATACAAGACTATGAGCACACAACTCTTAAAATTATGTTATATGTCTGAAAATTACGTTAAATTCGTTATAAATCACAATAATTAATAATTTAAAATATTACACTGTACATTTAAAATGACGTTAGAAGTATTACGAATCACAATAAGTAAAAACTTAAAATATTAAAAACATATAAAAGAATTATGACTCATTTATTTGCACTTAATGAAAGTATGAATCTTAATCATTCATATTCAGTTCATTAAGTCAATGTAATTCTTATTTTTAAAGTCTCTTAATGTATCTGAAAAGATCTAGACGAATTAGATATTAGTCGTCACTTTTGTTTATCTTTGTTTGACTTTATTCTCTCTCGCTACAAATGTTCTTCCTTTTTTTTCTCAATCAAACATCAATTTTTTCTCTTTGAACTTGTAAGATTTCATAATAGTTACAAATATTTTTTGTATATTAAACATTTTTTGAGTGTATTGATGTTTATCAAGAACACTTTACCCCTACCTTTTCGAGATTTGTGTACAAAATATTTTTAAGGTTCTACTGCAACAAGAGTTCATAGTTGGAGTCCAATTTGTACTTATCCTTGTCTTAATATCTCCTATGTATATATATTACTATACATATAAGTATACTTGATGAAGTTGAGTGCCAATTTTTTTTGAGGTCATATCTGCTGCCCAATCGAAAAGAGAAATATTTTCATCTCAATTAGACATTGATGAGAAGATGAGTGCTTCTTTAGAGTTATTGATTAACAAAACTAGTGCACCTGAATTTAAAGGGTGAAAGAAAAAAAATAGATAGTTTTGAATAGAAAGAATCGTTATACAGTACAACTATCAGTATATTTGTGAAATTGATAGCTATTAATGATGCTAGAGGTTCACAAGTTAGAGAATTAGATTAAGATTATATATAAAAAATTAATTCTTTAAATTTTATAATTAGCTTGCTAGATTATATGCTAAACGTTGATAATGTGAAGCCTTCGTTATAATTATTTGATTAGTTGGATAATTTTTCTTATACCAAGATGTTTATGTTGATTTTAAAAGAAAAAACAAAACAATCATGTTATGATAATTTTATACTAATATATAATTTTTATTTGTATATCATAGATTTAATTTTTTAATCAAATATAAAATATATATTTTTTTGAAGAAATAAAATTTTTATAATTTATTGATAGAATGATTAAATTCATATGCATATTTAGATAGTGAAAATAAACAATATTAATTATTCATTGTTCAGATCTAAAGACCACATCTTAATATATAGATCTGTATTTTTTATCTAGACATCAACATCTGAATGTGCATCGTAATTCTCAGGTGCCTTAATTTTAATGAAAAACAAATGAGGGCTTAGTTGACTTCCGAAATTTAACAAGATACTATAAATCACAATAATTAACAATTGAAAATATTTAAAAGTCATACAAGAAATTTGCTTGACTCTCTAATTCCATATGTATCGCTTATGTTGGAATAGAAAGGAGTAACATATAATATGATTTTACAATACCTAAAAAATATTATAAATCACAATAAATCAACAACTACAAATATTTAAGATCATATAAGAAATTTGGTTAGCACTCCTAATTTCATCTATGCCATATAATTGAAACAGAAAAAATAACATATATTATATGAATATGACGTAAGAAGTACTACAATTCATAATAAACTAACAACTTAAAATGTATATTTTTTTTAAAAAAAAAAACACATACAAAATTTTAATACTCTCCAAATGTCATGTAAATTAAAACAAAAAAATAATATATATTTGGTCTGTGGTGACATATCCTTAATTTCCTATTTATCAAGAAGAATATCCTTTTTTCTTAAAAATTCCTTTTAAATTGTGGTTGAGAGGACAAAATTAAAGCCACAAGCCATTTTGAGAATGAAGGGCTGAAATTGAAGCTTGATTTTGAGTGAGCGTGACATTCACAAAATGACTGGTGAATCCCGTCTATGTTGATAAACTGATAATGCTAACCACAGCATGTTGACACGTGGAAGATAAACCTTCTCCAAAACACACTATATCCCCAAGCCCTTGCCATTGTTCAAATCCCCATTTCACAATTGAGAGCAAAGAAAAGAAAAGAAAAGAAAAGAATTGTAAAAAATGGCTAGTATTTCTGGTACAATGATTAGCACTTCTTTCCTTCCAAGAAAGCCAGCTGTGACTAGCCTCAAAGCCATATCAAATGTTGGTGAAGCTTTGTTTGGTCTTAAATCTGGTAGAAATGGGAGGATTACTTGCATGGCCAGTTACAAAGTGAAGCTTATTACACCAGAAGGACCTATTGAATTTGAATGCCCAGATGATGTTTACATTCTTGACCAAGCTGAGGAAGAAGGACATGACCTTCCTTACTCATGCAGGGCTGGTTCTTGCTCATCTTGTGCTGGAAAAGTTACTGCTGGAAGTGTTGATCAGTCTGATGGAAACTTCCTTGATGAGGACCAAGAAGCTGCTGGATTTGTGCTTACTTGTGTTGCTTACCCAAAGGGTGATGTTACCATTGAGACTCACAAGGAGGAGGAGCTTACTGCTTAAATTACAACCATTTCCATTTTAATAAAAAACAACACTTCATTTTGTTTCATGAGCATTTACTTTTCACATTTTCCCTCTATTGTTATCACAAAAGTTGCTATCTAGTTATTTGTGACAACCCTTTTATCTCCTTACATAATGATGCAACTGTTTATTAATTAATTTTCATCTATATTGCTAAATTGGATACAATTTTCATGCTTTCCCATATATATAAGATTCATCCATGTTCATCAGACTGTTACTTTACAAATTGATGTATATTCGTTTTCTGAGTTACACAATAGAAGCTTAATCATAGACAAGTGATGAGATAGCAAAGGCAACAATAAAATTCTTATGTAAAAAGGGCTTATCCCTCTGCAGCTAGTGTAACGTATGGGGAGGGTGCGCGTACAATGTACAGAATAAATACTGTGTAGCATGAGAAAAAAAATTACGTCTTCTGGAACAATTCGAAGAGAGTTTCTATCTTGTCTGCTTCATCATCCACAATCTCCTCTGCATCAGTGACCAGAACTTCACTGTTTCTGAAGGATAATTCATGACCTGGTTGGTTTGTAGTTTCAACAATGCAATCTTCTTGGTGATCATTAGACAGAACCTTCTCATCTAGGTGGTTAAATGAGCCTCTAGAGGAACATGGAGATAAAGTTACTGATGCCACTGTTGCTATCTCATCCCCCTCATCAATTGTTGATCCAAGGGAACATGTTGATCTTGTAGTTATAGATCGTAGAGCATCGTGTTTCGATCTGTCCTTTACTCTTTTACACCAACTGTGGAGTGAGTCTCGAACACTTTCAGCTACGAGAGCCTTTCCACACCGTGAACCCATCTGTAAACCAAAAAATTATTGGAAAGCTGATATCTGTCTCTATGTGACTAGTTCAATTGGCATATCAATACTTACTATGCATTATGCTAGAGATATAAACAAGAAAGAAGGATCACCTGCGAGATAATCACATTTAAAGGAACAGTACTGTGGCTACACCAGAACTGCACAAGAACCCTGTACATAGAGTGAGTGCCAAATTGGTCCATTTATAAATAAATATAAGACTAATTATATAAAATATTATGCATCTAAAAAATAATGTAGCATCTGAAAAAGCAAGAATCATTCTCAATGAATATATTTTTTAATTAACAAGAAGAAAACCATGATATATGTGTTGGTAGTTAGTCTTTTACTTGATTTCCGTTCCATGCTTTATTCAAGAAAGACAGTCTTAATAGCTCTACTTTAGTTCAATAACTACTTAGAAGAGTCATAAGAGCCATTAATTTAAGGAGCCAGATTCTGATGTAACACTCAGCAATTATATCTTTTGGTTTCGTTGGCCATTGACATTTTATTTTGAAAGTACTGGACTTGGTAATGATGGATTAATGAAGAAACTAACAGGACTGAAACTTGAAGTTTTTAGCTTAACATACAAGGTGAAAATGGACAAATCCGACAAAACTTGTATAAATAACAGAGTTAACAGCTTGAAGCATTTTCTCAATGTCAACAACTGATCGTTAATGCATTATCTGTGAACTAGTTTCATTGAATAAGATCTGATCAAAGAAGATTGAGGGGTGAACTTACATACTAGAATGTAAGATCAATGGATAAGCTTTAGTTATAGAAAATTAGAGGTATAAGTATGTAGTTGAAAGAGGACTGAAAACAAATAGATAATGCAAGGCAACCTTCAAAGCAAGACTGATAAACAATGAAGGAGATACCTTGGCAACAAAGGGAGTCACTTGACCCACTACAGTGTTTATACTAAACTATAACACAGTGATATTAAGAGGAACTTCCGCAATTGTTTAAGATAAGTAAAAGGCACTGATGTTTAACCCCATAAGAAACGATGGAAAAGTGAGACTAGACGGTTCTATGTGAAAACAGCTCATATAACTAGGCTCAGTCTTATAGGAGAACTACATGATCAATGAAGATGTAACAATGGAGCTAAGATGGGGATGACCTAAAATAGGTTACTACAGGAGCACTATCTGATAGGAATATACTAAACAAAGTAAAAAGGAAAGAATGAACAAGAAGTGGACGTAAAAGTAAAGTTCTTCAGAACTTGGACTATAGTAAATGCGGAAGTGATTTCATGATGGTACTTTCATAATGAAGGATAGAGACGTACTTAAGGGCATAAGGAGGGTGTTTTCTTTTAAGAGAAGTTCCCTGGAACAACTTAATATGGATTGATTTCATGGTTTTGGCATACCAACTTTAAATTCAAGGGGGATGGAGTAGGTGGTCAAGACGTAATATACATACCCTGAAATCAATCTGATCATAACCATTGCATGGTTCTTCATGAAGCACGATCGTTGCTTCAATCCCCACTGCACAAATGGATTAATATTGATATGAGGTGAATCAATGATCCAAAAGAACAAACCGCATCTTCAGAGAAAAGAAATTCTAAGGCAATACCAACAACATGGTTTGAGAATGAAAACAGCCAAAACGAGTAGCTAGCTCTCCAAAAGGTCACTTGTATTGCACTTGTTAAGTGTCTGCTGTTGGTTGAAGTGATGTATTGTTGTTCCTCATATGATCTTCGTGATCCTCACCTCATCTGTTAGCTTTTGGGATTAAATTAGGCTCAACGTCTATCTTAATATGGTATCGAACTCAGAGCGGCACTCATTCCTATTCTTGATTTACCCAATGTTGGCCCCCCATGTCATATTGTTCATACTCCAGGAGCCTAACCCTCCGCTATAGGTTGAGCTTTTGTTGTTGTCTCATTATATGATCTTAGGAGTCCTTACTTCATGAATTATCTTGCAGGATTGAGTTAGACCAAAGATCCTCTTTCATAGGAGTAGTTTGTCATATTCTTGTTGTTGTCTCTTTAAATTTATCTATTATCCGTTATACTAACCCACAGGAAAGTCGACTAGGGATGGAATTTTAATTCACCCCCCTCGCTCTTAATTTCCTAGCAATGACATTTTGGAGAACAATTTCCTTCCACATTCATTCATTTTCAGCCAGAAGAGAAATTTATTTACATATTGACTTGAGAAAAAGTAGTAATCATTAAACAAGATGCTCCATGAATTATAGTAAAGAAGAAAGGCGACGAATCTCACCAAGGACCAGATAAAGGTTGCCATTTCAAAAGCATTCTGTGCACACAAAAATATCGATGTTAGGACATTTAACCATGCATATCTTTTTATCTTTTCACTTGTTTTGCTTGAAATGAACATTGAACAATGAATTGAGCATCAGAGCTTTTGGAATTTGACCTGAAATGATATAAACTGTATCAGTCGTAATAGTATCTTCGGTTTTCCAAACCAAAACAATTCATCGCGTGGCTTTACTTGTAATCCAATAAGTGGACCCTTCGGCTCTGCAATTTCAAGTGCCAACGAGGAGACTACATGCTGTAGTTTTGTTCCAACCACCACGACAAGCTTTGGCACAAGTTATTGTTGAGCATCAGATACATAGATCATTTCACTCAGGTAATGGACAAAAGAAAGTAAGCGGACTTACGATGGCAGGAATAAAAGAGAGCCAGAAGTAGATATTAAGACCTGCAATATAAGAAACATCATTTCAAAACTTTAACAAGCAAAAAAAATGATGTTTCATGTTACAAAAATTTCATTACCATGTATGTTGATGAAGATGCATATGATGGCATAACCCCAAAGTAGCCAGCTGCAAAGTCCCAGCATAAGTCAGCACAAATAAACAACTATCAAGACATTTATTTCTACAAGAAACTAAGAAAAGAATTGGACAAATTTCCAAATTGTAATAGAACTACAGCTCATTAGCTATAAAAATAAGTTTTTTCCTCTACGCTTTATTTGATGCCGAAAAAAACAACCCAACATATTCCAAACTTTTCACGTATTTTCACCAAAATTTATGCGGAAGCACCTAGAAGAAGCATTCATCATAAACACCAATAAAAACTCAAGGAGGAGCTCAAGTCTTTGATTGATGGGTATGTCACAAACAGAAAGTATAATTACTACTGAACAAAAATATTCTCACCCCTATACTGTGAATTAAAATGATCTAAACCAATAACAACATACCTGATGCCTACAATTTCATAAAACTCATCTTCCATGCTACGAACCATGTACTTGTGGAAATTGTAAGTAAGTGGAAGCTTGTGATTCTGCATGTTATTGAAGCAACGGTCAAACAATGAAAATAAATAAGTGAATTCTGGGAACAACAGTTACTGCTTCTGGATTTGGTTCAAGTAATAAATTAGCTACAAATATGTCCTCTTAAGTCTTATCCCTGGCATTACTTGCAATGGAGTACTTAGTATGACGAACAAAATAAAACACCCTACTCTATAAATACCTCCGAGCAACAAAATTATTACAAGGATACTGAATTTCGGGAACAAATTAAACAGAATTAAAACATTCAACTTAAGTGCTTCAGCAATTACATTCAGATATATATTATAACTTAACAGCAACATCTTTAAAATATCCTTCCCTCTTGTATAATGTATTCCTCATAGGACACCTTTCAATTAAATATGCAACTGCTTAAGCATGTCGAGAATGATGCATACGAATTTTAACCGTGGAAAAGAATACTGAGCATTTCCACCGCTTCCCTTACTTTCCCACACTAACAGAGGAGTTGAGACATCATTTCTAAGTGGAACAATATAAATGAAGTTCCAAAAGAAACTGAATACCTACAGTGATAAACCCCAATCTCAGTGCCAAGTAATCTGACTTGTGAATTGAAGTCCTGAACTGCCTAAGAAAGCAAAGCTGCAAGATTACAAAACAAATCTATGTCACGGATTTTATCCATGCATGGATAATGCAGAAACACATGATTGCTGAGATAAAATTCAAGACAATAATGTATAGGAATTTCGTCATATTTGCAAGGAAAGCTGAAAAGTGTGGTCAAAGGTGCTACGATTTGCTATGCATGTTATTGATTATGTTACAACAAAAGATACATTCACTTAGAACTTGGCAACTCAGATTAAATAAATGGAACAACTAATTTCTACACAAATGTTTAATTTCTATTTAGATTTTTAATTCTAGAGTATTTACATTACTCTACCACACAACCCCTAAT